ATAATAGTTAGTAGATAAAAAGTTAAATTTATCCTAAAGAAAATTACATCCATGGTTAAATTTTTTTTTTAAACCCAAAATTTATAAAAAAAAATTATTCTATAATTCGACAGTACTAAACTTTCTAAAATTTAAAGGTAAATATCAAAATAAAAAAATTATATAATTTAAATTGTATCATATTACATAATATCTAATATTAAATAAAAACAAACTTTTAATATTAAAAATTTTTTATTTAATAATTTTTATTTTATAATATAAACTAAAAGACAAAGAGCTTATACAATGGCTTAATTTAATAAACAATCTAATTACTTTTATATTTTTTTTTGTTTTATCTATTATCTTTAAATATTTTCAAATCTATTTACTATGTTTTACTTTTATTTTAGTTTAGTTTAGCCCTATTAATTTTGTAATAGTAATTTCGCTCTATTTAAATCAAATCAATTTTCAACTATAGTTTTTTATAAATTTTTACTCATTAAAATTAATTTTAAAATAAAACTAATTTTATAAAAATAATAAGTTTTTTTTCATTGTTTGAGAACCTGTAATTTTTATCAAATACTACTTTAGTTATTCCTTTTGACAATTCTCCTATATAATAAAAACAACAATTATTGATATATTTTAATGACTTACACAACCTGTTTTTGATTGTTCTATTGGTTGTGACTACTCTATTTTAGTATCATAATATTTAATATTAATTAAAAAAACTTTTAACATTAAAATATTTTTATTTAATGATTTTTATTTTATAGTATAAGCTAAAAAACAGAGAACTTATATAATGGCTTAATTTAATAAATAATCTAGTAAAATTTATTATTTTTGTTTCATCTATTATCTTTAATTACTTTCAAATCTATCTATTATCATTTACTTTTATTGCAATTTAATTACCTCGTTAACTTTTTAATAGTAGTTTCACTCTATTTAATCAAATTGATCTTTAACTATATCTTTTAAAATTTTTACACATTAAAATTAATTTTAAGATAAAATCAATTTTATGAGAATAATAAGTTTTTTTTCATTATCTGAGAAAGTGTAACCTTTATCAAATACTGCTTCAATTTTTTCTTTTGACAATTCTCTTATGTCATAAAAATTACAATTATTGACATATTTTAATAGTTTACACCGTCTATCATTGATTGTATTATTTCTTGGGATTATTTTATTTTAATTTTGATTTAATTTTTTTATTATTATTTAATTAAAACTAATAAAAATTTTATATAATAAATTATTTTAAAACATTTAAAGAATTTATAAACTATTTAAAAAAATTGAATTTTTAAATTAAAATAAAATTAATTTAATAATTAATAAACTAATTATTGAATTAAGCCCAAAATTAATCTCTCATGAGTAAATGGAGAAACTGGGCAGTAAAATCTTGCAGGTGGCACCAAGGCAGAAGTGTGGGGTCAACAGAAACAACCCGCGCATTGACAGCTTTGAAGAGAGCATTCAAATTGTTGTAGAGGAATAGTAGCAGTAGTAGCTGAAGGGAGAGAAAGTGGGGCCCAAGTGAGAGGCATGGTGCTGACAAGCGACAAGGATTCGCCATATCTGGGACCGAGATAGTGGTAACACGCGCCTCGAATCGCGAACACAAAACATTCTCAAAAATAGCAATCTGAAAAGACACTACTGTAAATTATAAAGGAAAAATTATATGCTAAGCCCGTGAACTAATCTCACATTTGCTATTGAGCCCCAAGCTTTAATTCATGCATCTAAGCCTTTGGATTTTACGATCTAAATAATTTATCCCTTAGTTCTTTAGTTACTGTAAGAATAAGGGTTAAATTGTAATAAAAATAAAGATTAAATTACTTAGATCATGATATCTAAAGACTTATGTATCAATTAAAGTTTAAAAATTTAATCGTAAATTTGGATTTGTTTAGGGGCTTAATATATAATTTTACCAATTATAACTTAAAAAAAAAAAAACACACATACATAAGTTCTCCTCCTTCCACAAACCTCAGACTTCGAGATTTTATAGCTTCGTTGGTCACACACACTGTACTCCGACTACTGTAAAATAAATTCTAGAGTTAAAAAAAGTTCAGTAAAAAAACCAAAAAAAAAAAAAAAAGAAAGAGAAAAAACAAAGGAGATTCCCAGTGGATTCTGGGCACGCTC